CATAACTGGCCGTGGTGCTGTTGCAAGAAGGTGGGTGCCTAGTTACAGGGTTCCGAGTTCTGTTAGGGTCTGCCATCGAGGAAGTGACTTCACCACCTGGGGGCCCCTTCCTTGGATTGACATTTGACAGCCGAGCACATAGCCCTCAGTGTACTGACTGCTCATCCCTCATCCACGCAGCCCCGTGCCTCACACAGTTGCACCACATAGCCCTCCACACAGCTCCCGCGCAGACTGTATGCAGCTCTGAGTTGACAGAACTGGGCCCAGACTAACCTCCTGTTTACTACCTGTTCTCCGTCCTGGATGAGTCCCCGTCTCTCAACGCCTGTCGTTATCCACACCTGCACACCAGGATGATGCCAGCATGGACTTCTAGTGATGTCCTCAGACCTAGGTGGGAAAAGACCTGGAAAATATGGAAGTCCGTGTCTCAGGCAGGCAGTGCCTCCAGCCCCTGTATGTTCGTCTTATTACCGTCCTCCTATCTGTCCCTCTTCTGATGCCAATCCACATTCCTTTTCTTATTCACTGTGCTTGGGTGTGTGTGTGTTAGTATCTGTTCCCACTCTCTAGAGGCCAAAGAAACACTGCCCCTAAATAGTGAGGGATGGTAAGAGAATTCTAGAATCTAAGGCTATCTAATTTCTAATGGATTAAAAGCTTAAACAGAAATACTGAAACCATCTAGCTCCTCGAAGGAAAGGGGTACTCTGTTGCTGTACATCAGTCTTGGCAATGAAGTTTGGGTGTAATTCCAAAAGCAAAAGAAGTGGAAGGAAAAGTGAACAAGTGAGAGTAGATCAAAATTGAAAGCCTCGGCCTGGGGAACCATCAATAAATAAGAAATGAAGTATGAAATGGAGAACATATCGGCAATTATCATGTCCAATAAGGGTTCGTATCCAAAATATATGGAAGAAAAACTATGACAAGCCTACACAGCATCTTAAAAGAAGGCATGGACATCACTTTGCTGACAAAGGTCCACGTCGTCAAAGCTATGGTTATTCCAGTAGTCATGTACGGATGTGAGAGCTGGACAACAAAAAAGGCTGAGCACCAAAGAACTGTTGCTTTTGAACTGTGGTGGTGGCGAAGACAATTATGAGTCCTCTGTGCTGCAAGGAGATCAAAACAGTCAATTCTAAAGGAAATGTACCCTGAATATTCATTGGAAGGCCCGACACTGAACCATAAGCTCCAATACTTTGGCCACCTGATGCCAAGAAATAACTTACTGGAAAAGATCCTGATTGGGAAATATTGAGGGCAGAAGGAGAAGAGGAGTCACAGAGTATGAGATGGTGGCATGGCCTCATCGACTCATCAGACAGAGATTTGAGCAAACTCTGGGAGACAGTGAAGGACAAGGAAGCCGGGGATGCTGCACTCGATGGGGTCATAAAGAGTCAGACACTACTGAGCGAATGAACCACAAGACCTTTCTCCAAAGAAGACACGTGCATGTTCAACAAGTACATGAAGAGATGTTCAACATCGTTAATCATCACACACATGCAAATAAAAGCCACAATGGGATAGAGATTGGCCATCATCAGAAAGAACACAGTTATGACATCTTGGCCAGGATGTAGAGTACAGGAAACCTTCGTAAACTGCGGTTGGAATGAAAACTGGTGTAGCCGGTATGGAAGGCACTATGGAATTTCCTCAAAACACTAAAAAGGAAACCACTGTGTTATGCAGCAATTCCATTACTGTATATACATATTAGGAGAAAACGAATAAACCAGTTAGAAAAGATACGCGCATCTGAATACTCATGGCAGCATTTCTTTCACTAGCCAAGTCATAAAAACAATCTATGTGTGCAGCAGTAGATGAATGGAAATATGGGCGTACAGTACATCCATATATAATCATCGGTTGAATTTGAATGACGTTTATTTTCCAGGAATTTACTCATAGAGCCTAACATGTTAAGCATAGAGGTATGAAATTTTGCTTTCTTTTGTATAATTCTTTTCTGAACAGCATTGATCTTATTCATAATAAGCTCGTTTTTATTGACTTGGAAGCGTCCATCTAATTTCCAGATAGAGAGACTATAATTTCATGTTCCAAAACCAAAATTTACTTGATTCCATCAAACACAGTATTTGTACTCTGATTGTTTTATTAATACTTAGGATTTCTACGTTGAATCCCTCCTCCATTTCCATTGTTTAAAATTTTGTCTTTAAACCCCAGCTACAATAAATGTGCTTTGTAATTACAATTTTGAAATGTAAGGGGGTACATGTAAATCCATGGCTAATTCATTTCAATGTATGACAAAAACTACTGTAATGATGTAAAGTAATTAGCCTCCAACTAATAAAAATTAAAAAAAATAAAAATTAA